TTGTTTTCCAGTATTTTGCCTTTTAATCTATATATATATATATATATATATATATATATATATAAATCAAATAATATGAAGAACCCTGTTCTGTACTCTACTAATTTAGTATTCTAGCAAGCACAAATTAGATTTACCTCTGCTTAAATGTCTATTATTATATTGAATAGAGAAGTACATATCTGCATTGCGATTAAAATTATATCTATTATTATTGAAGAATGAAGCATGTTTCAGGCAGCCAATTTGGTGTGCGTGGACATCAGAGCCTCTGCAACGCCTTACTTTCTCTGAATTCTACTCCTTTGTTGGAAGACTTAGCCGACTGGTCGCATTGGACTTTGATTTTCAAACCAGAGTACGGCGAGCTAAAGGGGTTCATCGAAAAATGGTCAGGGGCTGAGATACCATATGAACCAGAAGGTAACATCGATCATAAGTCGTATTAGTAACCCTTTAACCTCTTGTTTTATTGGAGGATGAATTCTGAGCGAACTATGCGAGTTAGGAAAACTTTCAAGACAGTATGTGGTAGAGATAGGTGTGCAAAGAGTATCATCACCATTTAATGATTATTCTAACTGAATATTACCACAAAATTCAAGTTTAAAAAGTGCACCGATGATGTTTAAGCTTTTGGTCCCAATTGCAAAATGGCCGATGCGCATGTTAAAGAACTCTGTACACTCTACACTCAGGAAAAGAGTAGGGGATTACTGCCCAATTCACCACCAGATGGACCCAAACTGAAAATATGTCTTAGGACTTTTGTGGGTTACCCTTCAATCCAGTTTAATCCAATCCACATCATCTGTTGAAACTCTATTTACATGTACACAACAGGTGTCTCATGTTTATTTAGAAAACCCAAAACAACTAATTGCTTTCTTGTCAATTACCTTTCACAATCATCAAGTCAACAACTTTCAACACACTACCCTACTATACTGCCTGCAACGTTATTGGTTGTTGCATAGGCAGGCTATTAACCCCACCAGAAACCCATAAGTTTTTTTGCAACATATTTACACATTTCATGAAAGGAGTATTTGTATTTTCAGATTCCCAATTGGATGAACCTATCAAGATCTTTGCTTTGGAAACTCAGCCAGGAGTTTTGCTGAAATTGGCTTCCAAAACTTCTCCTGATGATTTTAAAAATGCAGCAATAAATGAAGATGCTAGGCTTACAGCTGGCCATTTAGTTTCCATCTTAACAAGGGATGGTATACAAAATGCTCCTCTTGTTTTGCTGCAGAACTACTTCGAATCTGCCCTAAAGGCAATATTCTCTAAAGATATTCCTTTGGTACCAGGCGGTCCACCCGAAAAAACCGATGCTGACATCAAGGTGGCATCTTTTGTTTTGGATTGCCTGATTGTGATACCAACCAAGATCTGCCATGCTGTGGCGGAGGTAAGTGTCAAAAGTATTAATTTCATTATTATAGGTATCAATAACAACAGGAATTGGCAGCAGCAAAAACATCAGAAACATTATGTATTTTAATAATAAAGATTAGCATTTAAATAATTTTAGGCAACATAAAAAAAAACTTACATATGACAGTTTCAGTGGCTATCAGTGTTTTCATTTTCTACTTCTCCATGCACGCCTGATGGCCTGATGGCAAAATTTTCAAGAAACTGTTTTTCTGCTTCAAATCACACTGAATTCCAGAATTATTGAAAACCAAAGTCCACTCAACTCAAATGTTAAAATATAGCAGTTGGAAGAGGTACCATTCCAAATTTAGTAATTTATCGACCCAAAACATTTCTTGGCTTTCAAGTGTAAGCAACACTCAACTCATAACCTAAAAGCTAAAGGTTATACAGCTTTCAGGAACCAAAAAGTTCAACACAAGAAATGGGCTAAAATATTGCAGAATGTATGCTGATTGATCCATTGTGGTAATTTTATTCACAAAATTAACCCAGACTGCAGGCAAAAAATGTTTGAAATGTTCAAAAAAAGATGTCAATTTGCAAGTGATAAAAAGTTAAAAAAATATGTTTTCTGTAGTAAACCGATTTATAATTAAAATAAAAGCCTTTATTGCTATCTTGTTACACAATCGTGGATTCAGATTATAATAGTTTTTAATTACCGTAAATGCTCGAAAAAGCGCCGCTCTCGAATAAGCGTTGTGGCTCTTAATCAAGAGTATATTATTATTACCTTGTGTGTAATTAAACAATTTTGGTTTTAAATACAATGTATACAGTGTTAAGATGAATAAATAACGCAATGAATACACAAGTATTTCTTTGTAAGTGTTTATTTACTATGACATTGGACCTATATGATAGGCCTACTGTACTACAGGAATGTGAGATATGTAACATGGAAACGGACATGAAAAGCAACACACCGATATTTCTTTTTATGAGCGCCGCTCTGCACTGCACTGAAGCCTACAAATATGTTATAAGCGCCATAGCGCTTATTCAAGCTTTTACAGAATAAAAACATTTTTTTATTTCTAAATAAAAAGAAGTGTTAAAAAATTGTATTTGTATATTTTATTTGACATTTATTATTTAGTTGAAAACTATATACATGACTTTTCTCATATTAACTGAGATTAATGTTAATATTTTTGATAATTAAAATTAATTTATTTTAAAAACAAATGAAAAAATTTCTTTCACCACCCTGAAGCAGACCTAGCTTCTCCTTATTCGGTTCAATTTAAAACAACACTAACAAATGGAATACATTAAAACATACCATACAAACAGAAAAAACAAACAAAACCAAAAAAAAGACTATTTCTTTTGGTATCTTAGGTAATGCTAAAGCCCCTGTCTGAGGTTATAGGTGACAAAAGGTCAAAGAAGCTGCTAAAAGATTCCTGTGTCACCACAAAACAGCTGAATAAATTGCAAGAACTTGGTTATTTGTTGGGAATTGTGGAATGGTCAGAAACCTTTACTCTGCGACTTGAAAATCCAACTTTAGGTGAAAATCTGGATGAGCATGAGGACATGATTGACATTGCATCACTTCTACCAGAAGATAAACCTGAAAGTGACAAATCTTCCATAGTAAGTTCAAGTTCCGAGTTTCGTCTTTGTTGTCACATGCAAATAGACATGAGATTCTTTTTATATATAACAATAATAAAGACTGATATTTGCTATGAAAACAGTTACCAATGTCAGTTTGGTTTATGCATACTGCTGTATTTTTTCCACAACCTCATGTAGTCAGCAAAGAAACATGGTTATATGGTATTCACTGTATATTTTGATTGTTTGTTTCTACATTTGGTTCTATCATTTATGATTTGCTCATTGAACAACAGTGATGTTTGTAAACAAAATTGGAGAAGATGGGAAAAACTTCACAAAAAATTAAGAAAAGTTGAAGCTGACATTAATTTTCTGTAAAATCTTCAGTGTATTTCCTAAGTTTATATTTTGTTTTGTATTTGTATATTTATAGTTGTTCACATTATACCATTACCATACTTATACCATTGCTTGGGTTTTGTTTTGACTTAAATTTTAAACTTTGCTTAAAATTGTGTCTTTAAATTCAAGTCAACTGCAAATCATTGCCACTACAGGCTGGTATAAAAATCTCAACTAAAAAAACAAACATCATCATAATATAATATAATATATATAGTATAATATAACATATATATAATATATATAATATATAGTATATAATATATATAATATAATTTATATTATATATAATATATATTTTTTGTAAAATTTTACCTTTTCCAATTTCTTAATGTAATTCAATTAATTATTTATTCATTTGTTTAGCATTTATATATATATATATATATA